ATATTTAAAGCAGATAAATAGTTCAGATTTACAATATGTTAAGGATAATAACATTCGCATAATTTTAATAGGTATTTTCGAGGTTAAACTAAGAAAAATCCTTGTATAGTTGTTATATTGTTGTTGTAATGTTGTTATATTATTCTTAATTTGCACTTATCGGTTATCATAAATATATGGGTAAAAAAATAAGTAGTCAAATATCAGGGATGTTACTCTAGAATCTAGACAGAACTATGTATAGATTTTTGTTCCTGATATTGAAAAAAAACTTGGATTAAAACAAAGACATAAATATGTAAACCCAATTAATTTAATATTTCTCTTTGTAAAAGATATATAGCTATTTATTGAGAAAATCATGACATTTAAACTGTAACTATGTCACAAAATTGATATACTAAACATGAAGTAGATTTGCAAAATATATATTTCGTAATTTTAATTTTTTTTTGTGTACGGCTTCAACATCTAAGGTCATTAGTCTAGTGTTCTATGTAGGTTATGGATTGTACTAGTAGTCTAATACTCCTACACTCCTACAGACAGGCCTTGTTACTGTTTCCTTGCGCCACTTTAGGAACAGCACTGTTAATTAGAACCCAACAGTGAATGGTCGAGTGGGGAATCCCACCAAGGCATCAAAATTAATTTTAAATAATTAAATTAAATAAAAAAAATCCCGGCCAACGAAAGGATTCGAACCTGGGACCCTTGGATCCACAGCCAGAGACTCTACCACTGAGCCACCAACCCCCCTATAATTTTAAATTTAAAATACAAATTAATGGAAAAATAGGAAAACCTTTATTAATGGGATCACTTGTCAATAATTTTTAAACATTCATTCTCTTCTATTAAATTGCTACAGCAACAATATAAAAAAAAATGGTTGGTATTTATCACATTAACGACTGTGATTGTATACGGTTTGTTATTAGATTTTTATCGTTGTAAAAATTATGGAAACTACTGTATAAATAATAATGAAATAGAAAAGCTAATTGCGTCTTATAGGTATAGTTTTATTTTTTCATTTGTCAAATTTAGGTTTCAGATATAAGGCCGAGTAAATAACAGAACCGAGGGGTCAACCACTCCCGAAATACTGGTACGTTTACACTGGAAATCACCGAAATCACTACAACTTTTCTCGAAATTCCCGAAATCATCAACGAAAATCATGGTCGAAAGCATCACCGAAATCACTTCGAAATCAATTCTTTGCTTAAAAATGTAAATGCAGCAGCTTGTGGATCAAATACAAATGAATAGCCTAAAAATGGTCATCGTATAAAATTAAGGGAGATTATCAGCGAAATCACCAAAATAACATAATTTTTTTTCGAAATACGGGTACGTTTTGACCTTAGTGGTTTCCTCCTCGAACAGAACATTATTAAATGACCCACAAGAATGTTATGTTTGATAAGAAAGTTCTACTTGTAACTTTTTAAAATAATGATCGTATTGATTATATACATAATAATTATTGATAAAACAAGGAAATGGAAAACGATATTTTGTTACCGAAGAAATGCATCATTTGAAACTTTGAGACAGTTGGTTCCACTTCAAACAAAATTGAAATATTTTTTGGTTTTTACAAAATTGAAAAAAAATAATATTCAAATTAAGGTACAATGAAACTGCTGTCCAGGATTATCAGAAACATTATTAATTTCTTCTAAATTCATTGATTCTTGCAATTGGATATGTGGGTAGTCTGGATCTTATCCATTCGAGTTGTACACTGCATGATTTTATAACGACTAGTTTGATTTTCCATTTTTCATAAAAATATTTCGCTCAAATCCACCCAGGTGTATTTTTTAACGAATCAGTGAATTACATTCGTTCAGTTCAACTCGTAGTTAGAACGTAGCGACCTGTTCTTCAAAAATAAATTCGTCAACTGTATTTCAAAACTACAATCGACGGTCCGGTTTGAATTAAAAAACCCTTTTTATATAAATGGCGTTTTTACAAAGGTATTGGGTTAATTTAATATTCTCTGCTCGATTTACGATATTGATTGTTTTCTCTCCTATGTACTACTACCGTGTTGGCCAATTATTTAATATGGGGTAAATATAAATATTCTTCGTAAGCTCGATTAAAAACGAAAACAAGAAATTATTTAAATATTTTGCTTGATAAGCAAAAGGTTGAGATCTCCAAGGCCTACGAGTCAGGTGAAAGAAGGGCAAAAAAGTCCTCTTACGTATTAGGTTGCAAATTGGAATAGCTGTTCCAAAAACTTATGAATTATATCATCGGTTTGCAATTTTTTTTTATCTATGATATAAACAAAACACCATTTTACAAAAAAATCAGTTGCAAATCTGATAGAGTGTTGAAAATAATACAATATATAATTGCTTCAAGTTTGCAGCACTTTTGCAATTTCTTATCAACTTTATAAACAAAAGCGCCATTTTCTCAAAAATTAACTAGTTCCGGACCTTGGAAATGGTTACAAATTTAAAACTTAGTGTTATTTAAACTAGCAGATTATTATTACAAAGTTTGACAACTTTTGTAATTAATGTGAAATTTTTAAAATAGGGGTGACAAAATGGATGCTTCAAATTACAGACCTATAAGCCTTTTGTCTATCCCATCAAAAATCATGGAAAGCATCGTAGTTGATGTCATGACTAACTTTTTCAAAGAGCATAACGTAATACCAAAGGAACAACACGGTTTTGTTAAGGGTAAATCTACCACAACAAATCTTTTATGCTGTATTAACGATTGGTCTCGCTCACTCGAATGCAAACAACCAACTGATGTAATTTATCTCGATTTTGCAAAGGCTTTTGATAGGGTCCCTTTCGTCAGACTGCAGCACAAACTCGAGTCATTTGGTATTCGAGGAAAATTATTGTCATGGATTCACAATTATCTAGGAAATAGGAGCTTCCGAGTCAAAGTTGGTCAGTCCTACTCATCAGATAGATTAGTGACAAGTGGTGTCCCCCAAGGCTCGATACTGGGTCCGCTTCTTTTTATAACTTATTCGAGTGATCTACCTTACCATATCCAGTCTCAAAGAGCATTTTATGCAGATGACGCAAAATTTTACGGAAACCCCTTAGTAGACTACGATAATATTCAAGCTGACTTAAATTCAATAAGTGATTGGTGCTCGGACTGGCTTCTCCCGTTAAATATAAACAAGTGCGTGGTGTTACATATCGGCAAAAATAATCCACGTCTTGGTTACTCGCTCGGTAGCCATAATTTGGCGCAAGTGTCTTCGTATGTAGATTTAGGAGTTTTAGTGACGTCAGAACTAACATGGTCTGAACACATTCTAAAAACATGTAAACGTGCAAATTCGATGTTATATTTGCTTCAAAAGACTTTTGCAAAGGTATCCTTTCATACATACATCAAATTATTTAAGATTTATGTTCGACCTTTATTAGAATATGCAGGTGTAGTTTGGTGTCCGCTTCTTGTGCGAGACCAGAACCTTTTAGAAAATGTTCAACGCCGGGCTACCAGAATGACCTTTGGAGCAGTCCGACCATCATATGCAGAAAGACTACAATTGTCAAACTTGTCAACTTTTGCGAATCGTCGACTACGAGGGGACTTAATTCTTACTTTTAGAATACTTAAATATAATTACGGAAATCTTAGTGACATTTTTTTGTTAAATACTGACTCTCGTCTACGTGGTCACGAACTAAAATTAAAAAAGGAAAACCTAAAAACGAAGCACAGACAATCATTCCTTTCCAACCGGGTATTTAATGTATGGAACGACCTCAGCGACGAAGTTGTTGGTGCCATAACAGTTAACGTCTTTAAAAATAAGTTAGACGCGTGTTTGTTTAATTAACATTTTTATTCAATTTTTAGTGTTATTTTTGTTTCAGTGTGTTTACTTTGTTAGAATTTTTCTATTTTGTTTTTAGGCTATCATAGGACTTGTGTCCTCAGCCTTTATCAATGTATAATAATAATAATAATAATAATGTCTTTATTGACTGGCCTAATGTACGTTGTAAAATGTCGGCCGTTTATAACATGAATTTAGGTATATCTATTATCGCTTCATAAATTGATTTATAGGATTTTAACGGGAGTTACCTGCTGAACGTTTTCCATAAATATACCTTCATCACACAATAAAATTGACATTTTATTGTTACGAATTCCGCAAAATAAACGTATTTTGAAATGATGGAATCACTTTGCTTTGGGAAAGCACGTAGTTCTTTCATTGATCAATTTAAAGGCCACCTTCTGAATGGCTTGAGTGTAATAAAAAATCCATTATCACCAGTGCAGTGTGGTGTTCACAGGATGACTAAGCAGTAAAAATTTAGGTTAACTTTAAGCCGTATCAGGTAAAATATTTGTTTTCTCAAAGTTAAAAGTAAACAATGCACCTTACTAGGTATTTAACCTAGATGTGATTTTAACAATAGAAAAATATTTAATTGAAAATTTTGTTGTTGTTAAATTACTTTTTCTTCATTGGGTTAATGGGAAATGTTTTCTGACTTTGGAATATAAAAAGCAACGGTGACAATCCAAAATAAATCTCCCCATACCCATACAAATATACAATATTTTGACTGATAATTCACACTTTTTCGGTTTGCTTTATGTTCAACTCAAATTATGTATATCTCAATAAAAGTCGACACAAGAAATTTGACAATCTTCACTTCAATATATCAATTAGTATGTCAAAAAATAAAAAGATTTTGTCGATAAAAAGACCTATTCAAATTTCATATTATTCGCTATTATTTCATATAATTCGCTAAGAACTCAATTAACAACATTAGAATTTGCTGTAGACGGTAAAATGAGGTCATATTTATAAAAGACTTAATGCGAATAAAATGGTTTAAATACCTCATTTTATGGCATTGCAAGGGTTTTAGGATAAGACCAAATCCAAGACCAAATCCGAGACCAAATCGTTCAGTTTGTTCATTGACATTGTATAACTGAATAATTGTAATAAAACTTACTTTTCTTTCTTCTTTCAAATCTTTGACTAATGCCGTTAATTCTTTTATCACATTGGCTTGAAGATCCTCCGCTACTAATTCGTGTTGACCCGCCAAATCGCTAACCTCGTTCATCAGCGCTTTGAAGGCTTTACAAGAGGTAAATCTGCAAAAAAAACCAATACTTTTAGTTATATAAATAAGTATTTTTCAGAAATAAATAAATTAGTTAAAAATACAAAATCCCGAAACAAATATAAAATTAGATGATGATGATCGATGAACGAACGAACGAACGAACGAACGAACGAACGAACGAACGAACGAACGAACGAACGAACGAACGAACGAACGAACGAACGAACGAAATTGTATTTTAACATTAATATTAATTATATATAATAAAAAAATTTATATAACAAAATTTAATTTGCAATTTCTGTTACATAATTAATTAGACTTAGGAATAATGGTGATATGATTTGTTTATAAATAACATTTCAATAATAAAATGTTTGAAATAATTCATCGTTTTATTCGTTAAAGAAATATTTACGACAAATTATTTATAATATAGATATTAGATATTTATTATAATCAAATTTGATTACAATTTCTAGCTAAATAATGTTATTATTTACGTTATTCAATGAAATGAAACATTTTAAAGATTAATAAGGATTTTTATTTTGTATAATATTTAATTTTGAATAGGAGTGGGTTGACTTTGAGATCGAAGGGCCTCAGGATCGAATCCCACCAGTTTCAGGGATTTTTATTTAATTAAAAAAAGAAAAAATTAAATAATAATTCTAATGCATAGGTAGGATTCCCCACTCGATACTAATTAACAGTGCCGTTCCTAAAGTGGCGCTGGGAAACAGTAACAATGCCTGTATGTAGGGCTGCAGGAGTATTAGAGTACTAGCACTCCTACACTATGGAGTATTACTACTAGTACAATCCATAACATACTTAGAATACGAGGCTAATGACCTAAGTTGACGAAGCCAAAGACACCAATGAAAAAAAAAATTTGAATAGGATCAGTACTTTATTTTTTGATTTTTTTTTTTGCAAAAGAAGTGCACAAATCTCTGATTAGACTGTAGAGATGTGATAAAGTTGTCTTTGACGGATCGTAACCCGTATTCGCCAGATTTTGAAAACCTAAATACTATCTACCGCGGACGTCCTTTGTGGGGTGTCCCAACAAGAACTTGAATTTTTAATGACAAAGAAAACACAGTAATTAAACAAAATTATGCAAATATTTTATTAGATTTTCAAGGGAAAATGTTGACATTAAAAATGAAACAAAATATCTGTCAAGTGGCGACAGCGGCTCCGTTGACAGGTGTATATTCGTTTGACGAAATTTTGGAAGACGTTTTCGAGCAAAATCGGCTGGATTTCACGAATATTACGTTCAATTTCTTCCTTCAGTTGTCGAATCCTCTCAGGATGGTTCCTATTTCCTATACACTCTAATTTTTAAATACCTCCAGAGAAAATAGTCGAAGGGCGTCAAATCGCAACTTCTCGGCGGCCAGTTTTGCTCTCCAAATCGAGAGATGACACGATCTGAGAACTTTGTTTGCAGTAACGCCATTGTTTCACATGTGGTGTAGCAGGTCGCATTAACCTATTGAAACTTCGAGCTGAAATATATATGCTCGAAGTGTTGAAACCACAAGTTATTTATGTCCATTCCATTCACTTCCAGCCAAAGAAAGTCTCTCAGCATGCTACGGTAGCGATGACCATTAACAGTCACGGAGACACCTACATTATTTTGAAAAAAATAAGATCCGATGATCCGTCCTACCTAAATGGCGCACCAAACTGTCAGTTTTTCAGGATGCATTGGAAGCTTGTGCACGGCATGTGGATGCTTTTTCCCTTAAATCTCATAGTTCTGTTTATCACAAAGCCGTTCAAATGGAAGTGCGCTTCATCAGTAAAGATAATTTTGTTGTGGAATGCATCGTCAACTCCGTGCTGTTCCAATATTCAATTCGCAAAGTTTCTGCACTGTCTATGATCAGCTTCAGCTCTTGCGTCAAATGTATTTTGTAAGGATTAAGATGCAAATCCTTTGTCAAAATTCGTTGAAATGTACTGCGACTGATATTTAATTCCTATCCGCGATGTCGGATGGAAGTGTTTGGATGTTCCTTAACAATGGCTCTCACGGCGGCGATGTTTTCAGCAGACCTTCCTAGACAACGACATCTAACACTTGTCTCGTCTTTTAATGCAAATGTACGCTCTTTGTTGATCAAATCTTCAATAGCAGGCCGCGATGGACGATTATGTACACTGAAATGTTCACGTAACCTGCGCATTGTCACTGTAAAATTTTCTTCATTTCTGTAATGGGTTTTCACAATTAATAAACGTTCTTCAAGAGTGTAATGCGGCATTTTCGTAAATGTCAATGTTTTGACAGAACACATGCCTAATATGGCCCACTTGATGTTTGACAGACGGAAATGGAGCGTGATTCAAAATTCAAGTTCTTATTGGGACAACCTTTATAAAAGGATTATTGAGCAGATACCGCAAAACCTAACAGCACACCGTAGACACGTGTTTCTGACTATTGGTCTTCATCAGTACGGTGCAGCTAAGTTCAAAAGAGAATGGAACTAGCGATAAAATCAAATCAACAGGAGATCACTCAAGGAGCCAACCACACATTTGTGGACTTGGCTTACTAGGAAAATATTAGCGTCGCTACGGAGGCAGTTATAGCCGCTATGAAGATGCATCCAAGCGCAGGGAAACTAAACAGGAGAAGAAGCACTGGGAATGTTAGCCGAGTCCACAAATGTGTGGTTGGCTCCTTGAGTGATCTCCTGTTGATTTGATTTCATCGATAGTTCCATTCTCTGTTGAACTTGGCTGCACCGTACTGATGAAGACCAATAGTCAGAAACACCTGTTTACGGTTTGCCTTTAGGCTTTTTTCATTTTTTTGCGGTATCTGCCCAATAATCCTTTTATCTTTTATATTTTTTCACCGCACTAAACCTTCTTTTAATGCGGGACTAAAGCATCAGAATATGGAAGTCAATAAAAAAAACCTGTTAGGGGGAAGATAGTTCTAAAATCTAGCCACTCAAGGTATAAAGGAACTGACAAAGGCCAACAAAATATCATTACGCTTTCAACGACAATGAAAGGGTCTGGATACACTTCTCGGAGATGTTATCAATAAAAAAAAAATAAAGTTGGACATGGAAAAAGATGCATATCGGAGCTTATTATAACTCTTCTTGTTTTTACATGACAGTTTCGGTTTCATTGAGAGGCGTTTGTAGTTGTCAGTTTAAAAACATATTTTTTGTTCATATGTTGGTAGAAGGGTTAATGAATCCATAGAGAAACCTCGTTGCAACGTTATTAACAGTTAATTCGAGGGAGGCTCAATAGGTGGTACCCACCTTATTGAGGCCCGAGGCCCCCACTTCTAACATAAAAGAAACAATTTTATTTTGAACAGATGACCAAAAGACGATGATAAGTATGAAGAAGTTGAATTTTCAGGTTTGTGAAGCATTGGCGTTACTAAGGCTAAATCATGTAGATGTTTTTCATATTACTAGCCCTGGTTTTTATGAAGGATTCCATGTTCACTTTTAATTAAAAATTGGAAAATGTTTGGTTTTTAAACAATTTCTGTAAAAATATTTGGACCCTTTAGCCTTCCCATGTAAAAATATATAGGCCTTTTATCCTTAAGTCTGTCCATGTAAAAATATTTGGAATATTTACTACTTAAGCCTGTCCACATACAAATATTTAGTTCCTTTACCTCTGCAGCCTCATCCGAAAAGTTTCCGGATCCAAACCTTCGTTTTTCATTGCTTCTTTAAGCCGTTCTGTCAGCTCTGCTTTCTTCCCTGTCGTCTCCAGATCACAATCGTCTAATTCTCGACGCAATTCAGCCACTTTTAAATCACAGTTTTTTAGCCACTTCTGTCCACTATTTATTTTCAGTTCCACTTCTATCACCCAATGTAATTATTGTTTAATTTAAAAATAGTTTATTTATAACGTACTAATTAATGTATCTAATTTTTAGGCACTATACCTCACAATTCTAATTTATTTATTACAATTAAGCTTTACTATACAACAAAGTCGCGCTATTTATATAAAGCCAGCTCTGCTCCAGTAGATTCTAGGCGATCTAGAATATCTGGGAATTCTTCCTCTGTGAGTCAGCCGGCGTGCAACGGTTTTTCTGGTAGCTTCTCGATGGAGAGGTTTTGTCTCTGTCCTGCGGTAACGAAACATAGATGAAGCGGCTTGGAACGGCGAGAGGAACAGGGTTGGCTGCAGGTGGTTACACGACATTATTTTTTAATAATAAATATGGATAAAGAAATATATTATTAAAAACAATCTTCACACACCAATCTGGGAATAACTTTACAGTTTTTTAAAACAGATTATAAAGTCATGTTGCAATAACTTGTGCCTAATGACTGGTCTTGTACTTCTTTAGTGTGCTGATCATGAACTTGAAAAATTAAAACTAGACAGTTTTGACCAAATTGTTCAGCGACCGGTCTGACCATACCAGTCAATTTAACCGTTTAAAGCATATATGCGCATTTTATCAACAAGTTTTACTGGACAACGAAACTTGCGTACGTCCATTTTACAGTAACACAATTATATTTAAAATATAAAGTAAATTGAATAATTAAAAAATATCGCAATAAAAATGTGTTTTTTATTCATTCTATTATTTGTACAATGTAAATCTGGCTAAAGTACTTATTTAATTCAATAATTTTGAAGGACCAATTACAAAAATGCCCGGAAATATAAAGTATCACTAGCTTTGCCATTGGTAAAAAAAGTTGCCTATTTGATACACGCTAAAAATGTGAAAGGGTCAAAACCATTTCTTTTATTTATTAACCGACTTCAAAAAAGGAGCAGGTTCTCAATTCGTCGCGATATATATTTTTTTTTATGTATGTTCAGCGATAATTCTTTAACACGGTATCCGATTTCAATGATTCTTTTTTTGTTAGAAAGGGGGTACTTCAGGGGTGGTCCCATATATATTTGGTCAAAATCTAATAATTGAGTCCATGAGAAAATCCTCAAACTCTTCATTTTTTATGTATGTCAAGCGATAATGCT